GAATAATATTCCACTACATTTTTATACCACATTTTGTTTATACATCCGTTATGGATTTTTTGGTAAATTGACCCTTCTACTAATATAGAGCATTTTTCTTTGTCTCTTGTAATAGTTGATTCGAGGTTTGTACAGTTTGATATTATGTGTATGATAGTCACACTTGTTCTCTTTTGGTTACTATTTGCATGGAATGTCTTTTTCACTTTCAACCTATTTTTGCCTTAGATGTCAAGTTAGTCTCTTACAGTCAACAGGTAGTTGGGTCATTTTTTCTTTAAACCATTCTGTCATTGTATATCATTTGATAGGGGAGTTTAATCCATTAACATTAATGAACTTACTTATAGAGGAGGACTTGTTTTGCCTTTCTATTATTTATTTTCCATAGTTCCTATTACTATTTTGTCTTGTCTTTTTGACTACTGCCCTCCTTTGTGTTCAGTTGATATTTTGCAGTGAAACATTTTGGTTCCCTTCTCATTTTCTTATGTATATGTTCTATAGGGTTTTTTGTGGTTTAGTGGGGATTATGTATAATATCCTAAAGTCGTCTAATTTGAATTGATACCAAACTAACATTAATCACATACCAATCTCTACTTCTTTGCAGCTTTGCCATCTGCACTTGTTTTTGATGTCAAAAATTAAGTCTTTAAATTTGTGTACCAATTAAAATAGATTTATAATTATTTTTTTCCATTTTCCTTTTACATCTCCTAAAAAATAAAAAGTGAAATTACAAATAAAAATTACAGTGATACTGATTCATATATTTGCCCATTTATTCAGCTTTACCAGAGATCTTTATATCTTCAAATAACTTCTTTTTAAAGACTAGCATACTTTTATTTTATCTCAAAGAAATCTTTTTAATATTTCTTATAGATAAGATTTCATAATAAGGAATTTCCTTAGCTTTTTAGAAATCTGATGAAATATTAATTTCTCCCTCATTCTTGATGGACAATTTTGCTGGATATAGAATTTTCAGTTGACAATCTTCTTCTTTTTCTTTTTTTTCCTTTCAGTATCCCACTGCCTTCTGGCTTCAGAGGTTTCAGCAGAGAAATCTGCTGATAGTCTTTTTGAGGATACCTTGTATGCAATGATTCACTTTTCACTTGATGCTTTCAAGATTCTCTCTTTGTCTTAGACTATGACAGTTTGATTATAGTGTGTCTCCATGTGAATTTCTTTATGCTTATCCTATTTGGAGTTAATTGAGCTTCTAGGACTTGTAAATTCATGTCTTTTTCCAAATATAGGATGTCTTTAACCATTATTTCTTCAAATAATCTCTCTTCCCCTGTCTTTTATCTTATCCTTTAGGGACTCCCATAATGTACATATTGGTCTGCAGGCTGGTGTTCTGTAAGTCCCTTAGGCTCAGTTCACTGTTCTTTGTTTTTTCTTTATTGTTTTTTAATTTCTGCCCTTCAGAATCAATAACTCTAAATTATTCAAGTTCATTGATTCATTCTATTGCCTGCCCAAATCTGTTGAACCCATCTAGTAAAAGTTTCAATTCATTTTGTATTTTTCAGCACCAGAATTTCTGTTTGGTTCCTTTTTATAACTTCTACCTCTCTGCTGATATTCTAATTTTGTTCATATATCATTTTTCTAATTTCTTTCAGTTTTTTGTCCATGTTTTTCTTTTAAGGATTTGAGTGCATTTAGCACAGCTATTTTTAAATAACTTTCTGTCATGTCATTCTCTCTTTTGTTGAATTGACCATGTTTTTGTATCTTGTAGTTTTTTTGTTGATAATTAGAAATTAAAAAAAAAAAAAACTGTCATCTCTCCCACTGTTTGCAGACTGGCTCTGTGCTGGGGAAGTTCCTTACTAATTTTTTGAGTGTGCTCTGAGCCTTGACATCAGATTGAACAGAAAGCTTGTGAGGTCTTTTCTGAGCATGCGTCTTTCTTGGGCCTTGGTGAGACTTTTTGGCTTCCCATATACATACATGGCTGATTGTAAATGTACACTTTTTCCAAATAGTTTCATCCTGTTTCCTCCTTAGATGCTTATATGATCTATCATATGTCCCCACTCATAATCTCTTGCCCCAGATGTCTGCAAGTTTTATTCTCCCTACAACTTTCCCAAGCAGTGTCCACTGCTTCTTCCCATCTGAAATCCAAGTTAGGCAAATTAGGGACCAGTCCTTCAGGCAGCAACCAAACAGATTAAAATGTTGCTAATAAGATCTGTTCTGCCTCCCTCAGTTTGAGGGAAAGGATTGGGAATTCAGGTGCTGCCTCATCCAGACCAAGACTGCACTATGCCATGAAAGGAGTGTGGCAAAGGTGAGCAAAAATGTCATGAAATTTGCTACCAATTTGAATTTGACAAAATGTTCTTGCCAGGCACTGAAAGAAATACTGCACATCCTCACTCATAAGTAGGAGTTAAAAATAAACAAATCAACAAAATTAAAAAGACAAAAAAAAAAAGAAGGAAAGAAATAAAAAAGAACAATTACAATAATACGTTGAACTTCCAAAAGAGGAGAACAGAAACTGAGGTTAGCAGAGATGGAAAAGGGGGAGTGGGAGCTTAGCAAGATATTGGGAAGGTGCCACAAAAATGATTACATTGCACAATGTTGAATATACAAATTATCCTGATTTGAGTCTCACATATTGCACACAGGTATTGATATTCACTGTGGCACCCCACAGGTATGTACAATCAATTATGTTTCAATTTAAAAAACCAACAACAAACAAAACTTCTTGATTGAGCATGTTTTTTGGTTGCTGTAGACCTTTGAACTGTTTCCAGAGCTCCTGTAAGGTTATTTCAGCCAGCTTTTTCTTTTTTCCCCCCCATATCACTATTTTTGCTGATTTCACTCTCTAGACTATTTTCTCAGGATTTGGTATAACCTGCTTATAACTCTGTCACTGATGTAGGGTGCACAGGATCATCTAAATCCCAAGTGCTTGATCACTGAAGGCCAGCAGAGGAATGCATCTTCAGTTTTTGGTTACTTTTGCAGAATCATATTGTCTCACATTTTCTGAATATAAAAACTATTTATGCTTTATCTTCAGTATGACTATGTCTTTAAAAAATAAAATGTTTATATTTTGTTATTTTATTCAACATCTTTTTTTCTTCATACAAGAGGGTTTCTAAAGAATCCTATTTTGCCTAATGACAGGAATGGCAGGAAAGAAGGCTGCAATATTTTTTTAAATCTCAAAACAAAAAATAAATCTGTTTTAAGGAATAATTTTATTCTTTATATAATATTATTTTTATGTGCTGATAATATTTTTACTTTGAATGGTATTTCTCCTTAGCAGTTTACCCCACACACGTTAAAGCAAAATAAAATGAAGCAAAACAAAACAAAAATCCATGCAGAAAATGGTTAATAATAATGCCAACAACCCCTCTTTGAGTTCTTTCTTCACTGGCACAAATAATTTATTCAATGGTTCTAGGAATTAGATTTGTCTTCTCTGGACAACAGCTCAGTGAATGATATATTTAACTTCTCTGCCCAAGTTGTAATTGGCTGCCAAGGCATCATTCTTACAGAACAGATGCATTTCTTATACAGAAGCACTAGTCTGTATCCAGAGCTAGAACTTTCGTGCTGTTACCACAACTACCCAAGTTAATCTGGCCGTCTGTAGTCTATTTCACCCTAAGCCTTAAACAGAGGTTTGTGTTGCTATAATTATGACATGATTGATAATATATTTTTCCATACTCAATAAAGTTGAGTAAAATTTATGTAAGCAGATTTACCTCTGAATTTAAAAATTAGTATGCTATGGTCATAAATTTTCTACAGAAAAAAAATCCAAGGAAATATTGCCAATATTCTTTAACAATTTTTAAAAATATATTTCTAATTATGTGTTTTTGGTTTACCATCAGTATCTTTGATCTTATGGGTTGAAAGAGGTCTGTGAAAATAATATGTCTAAACTTTTAAACTTTATGCTTAGCTTTTCTTATCTCAGTTAGTTGTATCATCACCAAGATAGTTTTAAAAAGCCAGAATTCTTGGTGTCATTAGCCTGTCTCTTTTCATCTGCCACATGTAGTCTGTATTGATCCAGTTCAGGTTGTTTAAACTTTTAAAACTATATATCAAACATGTCCACTTGTTTCTATCACAGCCGCCACTCAGCTCCACTCTATTGTCGTCTAGATCCTTGAGTACTGTAACGGCATTCCAATTCTCTATCTACAGTTTCTATTGCTCTTTCTATTCTCTTTTCCAAAGCATAATTTTATCAGCTTTTCTTCTTTCAATTAAACCTCTCAGTACAGCCAATTGCTTGTAGTTTAAAGGCCAACTTTGTGATAAAGACTATAAGGTTCTACACAATCCTGCTAGTAACAACTTCTCTCACATCACATCTAGATTTTTAATTTCCTTGTTTGTTTCTATTCCTTTAACTGTAATATGAAGAAGATAAGATTTGTGTTGTTTGCTGATGTCTCCCCAGGGCCAGGTACATTGTAGTTCTTAGATATTTATTTAATGAATGATTGAATGGCTGTTCTCTTTGCAACAGCCACACTGCCCTTTATATTTTTCAAAGATTCCATATTATCTTCTGCTGTAGGATCATTTTATTTATTGTTTCTTTTCCTATAAGTACTCTCTTTTTTATCTCTATGCCAATTAAATCTTATTTACTGTAAGGGCTCAGTAAGGTTTTACTATTCTCACATATTAGATAAATTCCTTGTATTTTATGCTTTCAGAAAATCATACTATTTTTTCATTTTAGCATTTATCATGTGCTTATCAGTGTTTTTAGTTATTTCATGTCTGTTCCTCCTATCTCAGCATAAGCAGGAAAGGTGCTTATGGCATTTACAGTTATAAGAGGTTTGGTTTTGTTTACTCCCAGACAATCAGTCTCATCTAGAGCTGGAGGCATAGTGCCACTATTAATTAACCACCCATTTTTAGTACACTGATGACATATCATTTAACCTATGTTGGTTTATCCTTTTTAGGTTTGCAGAAATAAGGCATGTGTGAGTTCTGCATACTTGGATTATGACTGTACTGAAGATAAATGCAATAATCATGGTGTAAGTACCAGTGATATGAGGTGAGAATAGAAATTACTGAGACCAGTCCTAAGAAAGCAAATGCACAGCTACACACACAGACATATACACACACATGTGCACATGCACACACACACACTCTCGTATACCCATAAAACATATAGGTTATCCGACCTAAGAATTATTGTATAATTCTACTTAAATATATGTAATTCTCTCTGCTTATATTTTAAGGTGATATTTCTCCTGCTTTCAGGTATGTAACAACAAAAAGAACTGTCACTGTGACACTGGGTATTTACCTCCAAATTGTGAAACTATGAATGAGGGATGGCCTGGTGGGAGTGTTGACAGTGGCAATTTTCCAACAGGAAGAGTCAACATTCCTGGTAAGTATTAATAATAAATTCAAACATAACTACAACATAATTTTAATTTATTAAATTTAATAAAATTAATAATATCTGTCTACCAATTTATATTTAGATTATGTTTGGACATCAAAAAATAAACCACATGTGAATTTTTGTTTTACTTCTAGAAAGTAATATATTATAGCATTTGTAACATTGTTATAAATAAGATACATCAGGCAGAGCCCAGGCAGTAAAATAGAAATCACTCTAGTCCTTCAAACGGAATGAATGAAGTGTAAGGCATCAAGTAACACCTAATGGCAGAGGTGAAAAGACAATCAGAGAAAGGTAAGGCAACCCAGATATTAGTAACAACAGAAAACTACTGCTACTTCTTAGGGCTGAAAAGACAATAAAAGAAGCTGATGTTATTAGGACCGGAATCTAAGTTATCATACAGCATGACACATAACTATGGTGGGGGTTGTGTGCCAGGACCTAAACCACAGGGGGAAATGCTGTCCAGCATGAGCTACAGGTAGAGGATAATACACAGTCATTGTGAGAGATGCTGGACGGGAAGGGGTAGAAATGCCATAGCCATTTCACTCTTCTGATCTTCCAAATTTTATTCAGTGACTACAGGTAGAGGATAATACACAGTCATTGTGAGAGATGCTGGACGGGAAGGGGTAGAAATGCTATAGCCATTTCACTGTTCTGATCTTCCAAATTTTATTCAGTGACCCCATTCACCAAACCTTGCTAGAAGAAAGCAGGTCTAGGAGATTGGGGAATGTGCTTTCTTGCAATATTGATCAAAGCAGAGGAAAGGCAGGGATGAATTTTAGAAAAAGAAGTTAACCAGCGTATTCAATAACATTTAGGGCCTTTATATAAAAAAAATGTGCTTTCTTGCAATATTGATCAAAGCAGAGGAAAGGCAGGGATGAATTTTAGAAAAAGCAGTTAACCAGCGTATTCAATAACATTTAGGGCCTTTATATAAAAAACACAAATTTATAAAAAATTAGACTCTATTTTTCCTGATTTTGAGTCAGAGGTATTTTTTTAAATTTCCAATTTCTTCTGATATTTATTCCAATATATTAAATGCTATATAGTAATAGATTAGTACATTTAAAACAGTAGGATAAATTTCATGTACTGCCAAGCTATTTCCATTTTTGTAGTAACAATTAGCTTGCTGTAGTTTATCCTCAAGGTGGCTGCAATTAACAACTTCTGTTCATGCGCACCTGTGTGATTTCTCCACGAACAGTGGAGATTACTGCTTTCTGGAATCCAGGTTTGTCCTGGTGGTAACATTGATCAATACGATATGCGGAACTGACTCTCTGGGCCTTCCATGGCCTTCCTGCAGATTCTGACGGGCTCTTTTGGAATACTTATTCATGGAACTCTCATTTCTGAAGCACTCATTATATAGAAAAACATGTACGAAGTATGAAGTTTGTCTGAACTGAAACACCAAAATACAAGTCCTCCCCAAATTCATGGCCCACAAAATTGTGAACAAAATTAAATGATTATTTTCTTACTAAGCTTTGAGGCAATTTCTTACACTGAAAAAATGTTTAGTAACCAGTGTAGTATATTTGAATAAAAATGTAAAGCACGTGGCACTAGCTTTGGAGTTGGACGGTGTGTGGTAGGCAGGAAGCCTCCAGGAGAATGTTGAAGACTATCACTGCGTGTAAAACTGTCTGGGGAAGACTGTTGACCAATTCAAGGTGGTTTAAAAACATCTTATTAGAAGTTGAAGAAAGTAGAACATTTATTATGAAGTAGTAAATTGTTTGATGTCTCTGCCACCTGTGGTAATGTGGAAAATAAAACTCATGCTTCTGGTTGGTGAAAAGTAAAATTTAGAGCAAATGGAAAAGAACTAGAATTTTTATGGGGGAAGGGTTAAAATAAAACTAATTTTCATTCCTAGTATCTTCCAGCAAAAGTTTCTGTTTTACTTTTATTTTTAATGGACACATAATAATTGTACATATTCATTGGGTGCAGTGTGACATTTTAATACATTTACACAGTGTAAATCAATGTCAAATCCAAATTCTCTTTTCTTGCTATTTTAAAATACACAATATATTATTGTCAGCCATAGTCACCCTGCTGTCTGTATATTGGAACACTAGAACTCATTCCTCCAATCTAACTGTAATTTTTTTTGACAAGCTATATCCTGTTTATTTTCTCTGGTTTATGCTTTTTTACTATTTGCAATATTGCTACCAGAATGTCCTGAAAATTGAAATTGAAGGGATTTAGTGTCAATCTCACAGTTAAGCAAAACCACCAGATTTCTAATCCAACATTTGCCTTCATCCACATTGCATGGCTTTTCAGATCCACAGAGAGAGAGGTACAACTCTAATAGCGATAGATGAAATGGCAACTATCGACATGGTTTGGGCTTCAGGCTGGCTGTGGTCTTTCCTTCCTTCCGTCCTTTTCTCTTAGTTCCCACTTATGAGTGAGGACATGTAGTATTTTTCCCTCTGTGCCTCACTTATTTCATTCAACATAATTTATCCATTTCCTCCACGTTTCCAAATTTGTTGGTGTATAGTTGTTTGCAATAGCTCCTAATAATTTTTTGCATTTCTGTGGAAACAGTTGTAATGTCTCCTTTTTTACTTCTGATTTTTATGATTCGGGTCTCTCTCTCTCTCTGTTAATCTAGGTATTTTGTTTACCTTCTCAAAAAAACGTTTTGTTTTATTGATCTTTGGTATTGTTTTTTGGGTCTCTATATCACTTATTTTTGCTCTAATCTTAATTATTTCTTTCTGTCTACTAACTTTGGGATTGAATTGTTTTTTCTAGTTTTTTTAGGTGTAGGGTTAGGTTGTTTACTTGAAATCTTTCTTTTTCATATAAGCATGTATTGCTATAAACTTCCCTCTTAGTACTGTTTTTGCAGTATCCCACAGGTTTTGATATGGTGTATCTTCATTTTCATTTTTTTCTAGAAATTTTTGATTTCCAGTTTAATTTCTTCTTCAGGCTCCACAGTTCATTCAGGAGTCTGTTGTTTAATTTCAATGTATTTGTATAGAACCCTGAGTTTCACTTGTTATTAATTTCTACTTTTAATCCATGTGGTCTGAAATGATAGTTGAAATGATTTCAGTTTTTTAAAAATTTGTTGTTTGTTGATTTATGACCTAGCATGTGTTCTATCTTGGAGAATGTTCCATGTGTGCTAATGAGAAGAATGCATATTCTGTAGGTGTTGGATGAAATGCTCTGTATATATCTGCCAGGTCCAATTGGTCTAAGGTGAAGTTTAAATCTTGTGTTTCTCTGTTGATTTGTTGCCCAGATAGTCTGTCCAATAAAGAGAAGAGGTATTCAGGTCCCCCATTACTGTCATATTGGGGTATATCTCTTTATTTAGGTTTAACAGTGTTTGCTTTATATATCTGGGTGCTCCAGTGTTGGGTGCATATATATTCGTGATTGTTATGACTTCTTGCCAGTTCTATCCCTTTATCACTACATAGTGGCCTTCTTTGTCTCTTTTTATGGTTTTTGATTTAAAGTCTACCTTATCTGATATAAGAATAACTACTCCTGCTTGTTTTGGGTTTCCATTGGCATGGTACATCTTTTTCCATCTCTTCACTATTAGTCTGTGTGCATGATTACTGGTGAGATGAGTCTCTTGGGTCTTGCATTTGGATCCTATCTTTTTCCATCTCTTCACTATTAGTCTGTGTGCATGATTACTGGTGAGATGAGTCTCTTGAAGACACCATATAGTTGGGTCTTGCATTTGGATCCACTTAGTGTGTTTCTTTCACAATAGGAATTTAATCGTCTGTCAGTCTGTGTGTTTTGAGTGGGTAGTTTAATCCATTTACATTTAGTGTTTTTATTGAGAGGTATTGTCTTATTCTTGGCTTTTTATGGATTTTTGTTTGATGTTTTGAGTATCATTTGTTCCTTTCTTCTCCTTTGATTATTGGTCTTCAGTGTTTGTGGATTTCTTTTTTGAGGTTGTAAGATTTTGTTTCTTTTGTCTTTCTCATTTGTGTTTGTGCTTTACCAGTGGGTTTTGTTCAGATTTGTGTGTTCATAGTGGTGATTATTGTTTTTCAGATTTGAGATACAGGAGGATTCCCTTGAGTATTTCTTGGAGGTGTGGTCATGTGGTGATGAACGCCCACAGTTTTGTTTGTTCCTCATTTCTCTCTCATTTCTGAAGGATATCCTTGCTAGGTATAGTGTTCTTGGCTGGCAGGCTTTTTCTTTCAGTATTTTGAATATATCATCCCACTTTCTTCTCAAATGTAGAGTTTCAGTTGACCAAGTCTGCTGTTAGTCTGATGGGGCTGCCTTATAAGTGACTTGACACTTTTCTCTTGCTGCTTTTAGGATTCTCTCTTCATCTTGGAGCTTTGCCAGTTTGACTATAATGTGTCTCAGAGAGGATCTTTTTTGGGTTGAATCTGCTTGGGGATCTTTGAGTTTCCTGGATCTGAAGGTCTATGTATTTCCTGTACCTTGGAAGTTTTCCATTATTATTTCATTGATTCAATTTTCAATGCCTTTACCTTTCTCCTCCCATTCAGAAACACCCATTATTCAGATGTTTGTTCACTTAAGATTGTCTGTTAGTTCTCTTAGACATTCTTCATTTTTAAAAATTCTTTTCTCTCTCTCTCTCTCTCTCTTTTCTTTTTGTCTGCCTGAGTTATTTCATTAAGATGATCTTCAAGTGGAAATTCTTGTTTCCACTTGATCTAATCTGATGCTTAAGCTCCTGGTTGTGTTTTTTACTTTTTTATATCCTTGAATGTGTCTTTCAGTTCCAGGTGTTCTGCTACATTCTTTTTTAAGGTATTAATCTCTGAAAATTTCCTCCTTCATATCCTGGATATTCTTTTCTTGTTTCATTGTGTTGTCTTACAGAGTCATCTCTTATTTCATTAACTTTCCTTAAGATAGTTACTTGGAATTCTTTTTCAGTCATTTCAAAGGTTTCCTGCTCTATA